CATTCCCGAGAAAAGTTGACAAGGTTTTGTTGTTTTGTAGCTAATTCTATTCACAAGAATCAGAGCTAAAGGACTTTTTTTGCAGAGACTGGTGATGTTTATGCATGGGGTAGCGGAAAGAAAGAACAGTTAGGCTTCAAATTATCTGACTGTAAGGTAATGCAACAGCCATCTAAAGGTAGGTTAGCTGATTCTGAGTCTATGGTAACGTAGCCTATTGCTGTATTTTAGGTGATGGTTGTCAAGAAACAAAGTAGAGTAATCTCCCTTCTCCTAGCAAAATGTATTATGGATGTGTTAATTATATTCAAATTGAATGGAATGTTCTGTAATATTTTGGTTTATTTTTCAAAAGCCATGGCTTATAAATTTTGAAATAACCTAATTTATTTCAGTTTATCTGCCTGAGAATGTTTGCAAAATTTTCTGTGGATCTTTTCATTCAGGGGCATTGACAGGTAAAAATTTCAAATTTTACTCTCTATTTGATTTGAAGATGGATCTCTCTTTTAGTAATTTCTGTGATGATTGCTCTAATAAAGAGTGGGCCTGATATGTAATTTAAAGGGATTGGAAAGATGATACCACTATCACAAAGAGCCTTTATAATATTAGCAAACTTTGCGATAGTGACATCATCAAACGCTAAGTTTTAGCAGAATTTCAGGAATACAGGTATCTGATTGAAAATTGAAATGGTTCAAAACGATGCTAACACATTCTCAAATATATATTAAAACTTCTTTACTTTAAGTTTACATCTCAACAGTAACAGGGTCTTGATTTTGAATGCATGTTATTTCAGTGCCTACCACTCTATTAATACAAGGTATATTTATTATTAGTGCTATCTAGTTTCAGGGTGTGTGTATATATGGGGGTGTAATAAATATGGTCAGAATACTCAAGGTGACAGTATTCCCATAATATTAACTTTACCTACTAATATTGGTACCATAAAACAGATAAAGAGTGGCTGGTCTCATATTTTACTTTTAACAGGTTAGTCAATGAAATTATCAGGCATCAAACATAATCATAAGAAAGTATGCTTTACCAGCTGACAAAATTGGAATTGATAGTTTCAAATGGCTGTTGTTGCTAGTTTTGTCTAGCTGTAGCTGATAGTTTTGACTAGCTGTAACTGATAGTTTTGACTAAATGTAGCTGATAGTTTTGACTAAATGTAGCTGATAGTTTTGTCTAGCTGTAGCTGATAGTTTTGTCTAGCTGTAGCTGATAGTTTTGTCTAGCTGTAGCTGATAGTTTTGACTAAATGTAGCTGATAGTTTTGTCTAGCTGTAGCTGATAGTTTTGACTAAATATCGCTGATAGTTTTGTCTAGCTGTAGCTGATAGTTTTGTCTAGCTGTTGCTGATAGTTTTGTCTAGCGGTAGCTGATAGTTTTGATTAAATGTAGCTGATAGTTTTGACTAGCTGTAACTGATATTTTTGTCTAGCTGTAGCTGATAATTATGAAAAAAAATAAGCCTTGCCAGCTTTATGGACGTCATACAGAGGTACTACTAGTTTCAAAATTTCATATTATGTCATGGAATAAATTTATTATAATCGTAGAGGATGGAAAAGTTTATAGCTGGGGACGTGGTGATTATGGTCAACTGGGACGTCAATGTTATCATCAATATGATAAAAACCCAGGCTTGGTAGATTATCTCCCCTTAATCCAACAAATGTCGTGTGGATCAGAACACAATTTAGCATTAGACGGTAAGTATTGTTTCATTCTATTAGCAGTATGGACTCACATAAATATGTCTAGTCCGGCTCAATTCTCACATTTTTTTATTATTGCTGGGGAATAAAATGACAGAATTATTTTTGATTATATCTTTCAATTAATGTTTTTTTTCTGCTTTCTTGCGAAATTGTCAAGGCTAATGCATTTTTGCAAGGTTAGGAGATGATTCCCCAAAAGGAGAATCTCACATGATAATGCTGTTGTGTGAGGATATAGCCTTTTTAGACAATCACCCATTCTTAATGTACTGGTTATGACAATGGTAGTCAAGATACTCTTCACTGTGTTATACAGTAGTTTGAAACTCAATAGAATTTTTCTCATTCTATTAATTAGAAGATGGTAATGTATATAGTTGGGGATGGAATGAACATGGAATCTGTGGAACTGGGGACGAGGAAAATATTTTGATGCCAAGAATGTTACAGACAATATCTTTTGTTAAAATCAGCCAGGTTGGATGTGGTGCAGGACACTCATTAGCTGTGGTTAAATGACTTGATATCTGAAAGGTTTAAGGAGTCCATCTTACCATTGAATACTTCTTGCATGACAGAATAAGATGGAATTTCGATTCACATCGTCCATTGAAATCTCGTCCTCAACAAATATTGAATATCATCCACATCATACACTGAAATTTACATTCACATCAGACATTTAAATTCAAATCCACATCAGATATTGGAGCTTCGTTCACAACAAACACAATTGGATTACATCCACACCACACCTGCCATTGAAATTTACATCCACACCTGACATTGAAATCTAAATCCACACCTGACATTGAAATCTGCACTCACACCTGACATTGAAATCTACATCCACATCAGACTTTGAAATCTACATTCACGAGACATTGAAATCTACATCCACACCTGAAATTGAAATCAACATCTATCTTAGACATTGAAATCTACATTCAGATCAGACATTGAAATCTACATCCACACCTGAACTTGAAATCAACATCTATCTTAGACATTGAAATCTACATTCAGAACAGACATTGAAATCTACATCCACACCTGAAATTGAAATCAACATCTACATCAAACTTTGAAATCTATATTCACATCAGACATTGAAATCTACGTCCACATCAGACATTGAAAAGTGCATCCACATCGGACGTTTTAATCAAAATCCACACCAGATATTGAAATGAAAATCCACATCAGACATTGAAATCTACATCCACATCGGACAATTCTTCACTTTAGAAAGTTTCGAGAATTATGGTTAATTTGCCTACATCTGAGGTCACTCTAGTTGATCGAATAGGCTATAACACTTATCTCTTTAGGCTGCTTGGCATACAACACGAACAAGGTCCATAGGAATATGCTCTTTATGCAGAAAGTCACTCATGACATCGAATAAGTTATTGTTTTTCTCATTATTCCAGTCGGCCCAGCTGTAAGTTGGTACGGATAATCGGGGAAAGATCAATGCCAAGAGAATTGGCCGGGGTAGCTTCCAATCTAGATGTTCAATCTATCCATCTCTGTTGATTGAGAATATGTTTTATACTTCTTCATCAGTTAAAACATTTCTAGAACCCTTAACCCTTTAATTTATGGCGTGCATTCAATCATTTAAAAAAAATTTAATCATAAAATATAACTGATATCAGTAATATAAATCGATTTTTTATACAAAAATTATCATTAATTTAAATACGGTTGACAACAGCTGATATAATGTTTTAGTCTCCATGAGGTAATAATTTCAAAATTACACGAGAACACTCTGGCTGTAGGGTAAGAAAAGAAGAATTAGCTCTTAGATTTTTTTCAGAAAATTGAGTCATCTATCATGCTTTCTGTCTGTGCCATCATGTCATGAAAGCTTTGTTATTTGTTTTTATAGAAGCAGTCTTTTATTCCAAAATCGTGCCTCAATCTTTAAACGATCAATCTGGGTTATCTATAATGGAATTGCAAATAGAAATCAATTCCAATGCAAAGAATCTTATGCTTAGAGCATGTTTATTGGAAATGAATTCATTAGTCCATTGGCATGGTGGTTCATCTTCACAATGTCAGGGTATTCCGAATTGGGTCTAATACCTATAGACTGCAATAGCAAATACTTCTTGTATCATGGAGTTTGTAAATGCATTGATTTGATTGGGTTGTAGGTAGCGATTTTTTCAATCTAATAAGTAAAAGGGTTCACCACAATCAACGCCGCAAACGGGGATCTGCCCTTTAAATAATGGGAAATTTCGCACTTTACCAAATCAAATCTTATAACCAACATATTTGAAGGTTTAGATTTTCATATTATTTATCATTCTTAGTCTACGAATATGTTTAGCGTACTGAATAATGGAACACAATCTAATGGTATACCACACCTGGGTTTTATTCTATTATTTATTCCCTATTATAATTATATGTATGTACATATGTGTATATATATATATATCTTCTTGTATTATATATGTACTTCCTCATTTTACCTGATGATGACATTGTAAATTGCTGAAACGTTGTATAAAATTGTGTTACTTTCATTAATGTGATCTCTACTCCGAGGTGCTACCAAAGGATCACGTATAGCCTATGGATTTCAGATTCTTTCTTTCAAATTTAAATGTGAAGCATTCCCTTTTCAATTATAGAATGGTAACTCATTTTAATTATGAAATATTTGATAAAGATATTACTGATATTCGCACTAAAGAATATGCATCAAAATGTTGATCTAAATGTCAATGGTGATATAGATCTTGCAGCACAGTTCCTTGTGACTGTTAATGATACGTGGGATCCAAGGTAAGTTAACGTCATTACTCGACTGTTCGGCAATTTCGCTCAATGACGGTGCTAACTTCCTGGACCTTTGGGGTACAATATTTAATAAGGGACAGGTTGTATTAATGGCGGAGGGAACAATGTCGGAATGCATTCTTTCATAGACATGTATTTGGGGCAAACAGTTTTAAAATCATATTATATGAGGGTAAATACTATATCATCGGGGAGAGGGTAGATGCCCCTTTTGTACCCATCTTGCGTACTATCTTGGTCTTAAAAATGCGTTCAATTTTCTAGAAGGCACAATTCTTGACGAAACTTGTGAAAATGTCTGTTGTTACTATTCAGATTTTGACAAAACTTGGTTATATAGTTCATTATCACTTCGGAAGAAGTCTATGACTATGTTGAATATTTCATACTGGTGATTGATTGTTACTGTAGGTCCTACAGCCAAATATTCTTATTCAAAGCTGCTAGTGGGTGAATATTTGCTTGGCTTGTAAACAATGCATAGTGTGAGCCGTAAAACTCTAATTACGCTTATGTTGTTTTTTAGAGGTTGTATAGAAACAGTCAAAACACCAGAAATAACGGCAGGAAATTTTTCAGAATCTTTTAGTGTTGGTTCGTGTGACCATGGTCCTTTCAAATTCAGTATACGTTCCGGTGATAGAGGGTTTAAATATGTAAGAAAATTATCATTTCCTTATATTTTTCCATATTCATTCGAGAATCGATTTGCATGAACTTGCATGGTAATCGCAGAAATTTTTCATTGGTGTCATTGATATGAACGGCTTTTAATTGATTTTATCTCAACAACGTTTTAAGGAATGCTTAAATTAACATTTTTAACGTTTTAGTCAATAGATGTATTGTTTCGATCATCTGTAATAGAAGACGCGTCACCGCCTACGTGTACGATATACTGGAATGGAAGTTACCTGGTTCCTACTAAGGAAGATGCTAGTGAATCCTTATTACCAAGTTGTTATACTATGGATTCTAGAGAAGGATATCATATGACCTATTATTGGTTTTATTTATTATCGTGGACATTTCTATGAAATATACGGATAAATACTACAATATTTTATATCAATTACCGTACTCTATTGTCTATTTAATACATTCAGACCACATCAAGATCAGTTACAAATTGAAACTACGGTGTGTCTTTAAGTCAAATATATGTCGCGTTTGGTAAATCAAGGGCAATAACTCATATAATTGTTACCAAATTCGGACTGGACTGAGATTTCAAAAATATCTACTTGCATACCAAGTTTCATCAAGATCGGATAATCAATGTCGCCTCAATTGTGTTTACAAGCCAGATGGTCGCTTTTTATTATATCTAAGTCAAGGGCACTAACTCTTATACCGTTCACGTGTTTCTTACCGAATTTGAATTGACTGAGATCTCATTAGTATATACATATATACCAAAATTACAAAATATGGACAGACGTAAGGACAGCAATATGCATCCAGATGTTTCATGGGGGCATATAAAACCATAAGGCAGGCATTTGAATTGACTGGTATCTGAATTAGTAATGTCATATTCTATTCAGTTTATAAGAAATCAGAAGTTATTGAAAATATTTAATTAACATACTTTATTGATAAAATGAGCACTAAATGATGACTGACATCAATCATATATTTTGCATTTAACCATAAAAAAAACATAAATCCCCATGTCAATAGAGCACTTTACATTATAGTAAAAAATTTAATTCACATCAGTTCATTCAAAAAAAATATCAGATATAAAAGAACATTGAAAGCAATATCTTTGCGTCAGACTATAGTTTAACTCTTGAAAGGTATATAGCACTTCAAAGTTAATTCTACCTCTTAGAATGGACATAAAATTTAAAATCTCAAACTTGGTCAACAAACGTATATATTCATCAGTTGGGACTTACCAGGTGCAATGACTATTAAAAAGAATTTCTTTATTCATTAAATTAAATAACTATTGAAATATGTTTCTTAAACTTACTTCATTACTAAGTTTAATGAATTATTACTAAGTTTAATGAATTATTACTTAGTTATTACTTAGTTTAATGAATTATTACTAAGTTTAATGAATTATTACTTAGTTTAATGAATAATTACTTAGTTTAATGAATTATTACTTAGTTTAATGAATTATTACTTAGTTTAATGGAGTTATTGGATTATAGAGAGATTCTTTTGTATAGTTTGTCACTAGGTATATCCACTCATGAAGAAAGAACCAAGTTTAAAAATTTCTATTTTTTAGTCATCCTAAGAGATAGTGTACCTTTAATATACAATGTGAACATTGAGATTGGGTGTTTTAGAGGCGAAATCAAGGACTGTGTCCTGTAAATTCAGACAATATATATGATATTATACCAATATTTAACACTGAACCCTTTAACCAGCACCTGAAACATAAATACCATGATGTAGTGGATATTCTGATAATCTGATTGGCACTCAACTTGCCATCTGCCATCTTTCAACTTAAATTTTAAGAACTTCTTGGGCACAATCATTGATAACCAGTTCTGTTCAAACAAATTCTGTGTGCAGCACACACCACTATGTCATCCAACCAGATCTCACAAATTATCAACTACCAAATCAACAGTACAGAATCATCCAATTCAACCCATCTAACTACCAACTACTTTGATTACCAGCATCTACCTACCTACCTGTGTTCAACAAAAGCTTCATTGAACATCTATTGAGGAACGTGGGGGGGCGGGGAGGGGGGGGGTTCGAATGGAGTCATAAGTAAACACTGAACATTTGTAATTTCAGTACTAAGCATGTTATAGTGCACCGATTTGAACAGTTACTTATCTGTACTTAGTTTAAGTCACTTTATATCATGTAGTAAGATTAATAGTAATACTTTGATTGGTTCTTATTGTTCACATGGAAAAAGAATATCTCACAAGGTTTATCACATAAAAGCATAAATCTATTTTCATTTTTACCTAGGGTAGGAAATTCTTCAGGGAAAAGAGCTATTTGACGACATGTTGGACATGTTCTTTCATGTTTATACACCCATTCATTTATACACTGAAATAAACAACATCAAAATACACTACCATATAATTGTGAATATAATGCGTAACCCTTCCTACCCTCAAGTGAATCTGGGAAAATCTCTGTCCATGTAAATAAAGCACCCCACCTCCTTTTTACGGACATCAATTTTACTCAAGTTTAAATTGAATAGTAATAAAGAGATCACAGTAATATTTGTGATATAGTTCAGTTTAGCCTGCTAACTATTAAACTACATACCATAATATGGAATTCATGACCACAGTCTAAAGCTTTGGTTCTTTCTGCTGATAATTCATCACAACATATAACACAAACATCACCTTCTTCATAGGATTTAGGTAGAGATAACTAAAATAAACAAGGAAATAGATACAATAACACTCTGGAAGTTATTAGATGGATTTAAAAGAAACTTTCTTTTCATTAGAATACAGACACCTGTGCTTGGAGTAATTGGAATAATTCAGATTATGGTGTGCAAGAGATGCATAAAGTTTGTTATTGTTTTCTTGCTTTATGGTATATCATAATTGTATATTTCCCTTCAACCTTACCATCATACCCACCTCTGTTACAGTTTGTTCCATAATACGTTTAAATCTTGGGGGTACATCTTTAGCAAAATGTGTTGCTACTTGAACTTTACTAGCAGTGGTCTGTCATCATTGAAAAAAGAGAATATATAAGCCATTCATAATTTAAATTTGAAATGACTAGTTGATTGCAAAGTAGAATTTTTGTGGTACAAGACACCACCAAAGACCACAGTATTATATCAAAGACATGTCAATGCACTATTGACAATGAAAATCCAATTTAGACCTTGATGTCATGACTTTGGTAACATCAAAATATCAATAGATGGTTAGACTAGATCCTTGGGATGAGATGAAAATGCCACATGACAAGAAGAGGTATTTTATAAACCATGGAACTGAAACTGAATGGTATCTTTAAGTAATTTAACAACACTGACTATTTTGTGATTATTATCTTTACTAGACATGATGGTTGTTCCCATTTCTATAATATTTTTTAATGGGATCCCCTTCAATGTTCCTTTTTTTTTACGTATTTCACCAATAATATAAATCACATCATCCCTAGAAGTACAAAATCACAAAAGGAATATATACTCATCAAGGTATACAATGTTTATTAAGGTTCCAAGGTGACATTTAAAAAGAGTGTAACCAGTAGAATGCAAGTAGAGGCCTGGTTGAAAAAGAGTCTATTTCAAAATCTCAAAATTCAGATTAACAACAAGGAAAATTTTGTGTCAGTCTGAAATAGCTTGCGAGGGACTCTAAGTATCTAATTGATAAATTCATTCAAGATCAAATACCAAGACAAAATTAAAGGAGACATTAAACCTATTGGTATTAGGAATTCTAGCTGTCATTAATTCTATTAATTTTATAAAGGCAGCATCTTCTTTAACTGTTCTCTTTTTCTTTCCAGTAGGTTTAGGTGGTGGTGGTAATACCACTTCTGGTTTTATTTTCTTGATTTTTTTCTAGAATCAAGATTGGCATATTTACAAATGAATTAGTGAAATATCCTTAAATTTTAACCCAACCATTTCAACTTGATATTTTCATCATGACATGCTGCACATTCAAAAATCTTTTACAGAAAGTTGAAGAACCATATTGTACATGTTTGAAAATCTCATTTGTAAACTCCGGAGAAAGCTTCCTCGACCACAGCAGGATTTTATATTCCCAAACATTAGAACCAATAAAATAACTTACTGGAACAGTTTTCCATTCATCTACCTCTTCTTCATCAATATCTTGTATACCTAATAATAAACATCAGTTACTAGTCACAAATATAACTTGAAAGATCACCTTACAATACTAAACATTTATTGGTTGATCTCACAGATGTTCTAGAAGTTAGCTTGAGATTTATTAATAGGATTGAGAATCCAGATTAAAATATGACAATCAGCCTAACATTTAAGGTATGTAGTTAAAAGGGCGCCCTTCCCTTTCCAACAGATATCTCCCAAACAAATGCCTACAGTACTAGTTTAATAAGATTGTGTGATTTTTTAAAAAAATGAAAGGGACGTCGAAAATATTTTACAATTGATAAAATTTACCAATAAAGCTCCACCTTTCATACAATTGAATATAAACAAAATCTTACTTGCACTCATGGCTAGAGCTTGAGGTATTGCTTTAGAATTCTTCCTTTCATTAGAACTCTCTGTACTTTTCAACAGACGGCCAAGAAATTGTGTGTTTATCTTAGCTTCAGATTTCAAACCAGTTTTCTTCGCTGTCTTAGGGACACCCTTTGGATTGGACTGAACTGCTTGCTTAGAAAATGTACATAGATCAGATGCATTTGTCCCAAAATTCAACGATTTTTGGGCATCAGTTTTGAATTTGAAGGTAGTTGGATAAGGATCAGCTTCCAAATCCCAATCATCTTGACCTGAATTTGTCTGGAACATTGGCAATGGTTTATTTTCACTTGGTCTGGATAGATCTGATGTCGTTTTATTTCTTTTTCTGCTCTTCATATCTGTATCAGTTGATTTCTTCTCACTTCTAGAATGGAGCACTTCTGGCTGTTGAACAAAGGTCTTGATTGGTTCTTGCTTGTAAGTATTTTCTTTGGAATCTGTTGGATTTGGAAATCTTTGGACATTATCTGAGTTGAGAGACAAGGAGAAGAGGCTTGGAATACTATGTGTTTTACTTGAACCATTTTGGAATCCATTTGCCCCTGATAACAATGCAGCTGTGGTAACCTTTTTATTTTGAAATCCTGGAGCAGTAGTCTTAGGAATACTTTTGAAACCTGAATCAGACATGTAACCTGAATTGTCATGCTGCAGGTGCTTCAGTGAGGAATTCTTTTTTACTTTGGAGTCAATATTACAATCTGACATGTATCCTGACTGGTTTAGCTCTACAAGAGAGCTAAATCTTTGGGAAACACCAAGGGTATTCATTTCTGATGTGCCTTTATCCGAAATTTCAGGCTTAGAAAAGGAAGTGTTATGAAGAGTTTCACTACTTGTGTCCATTGACTGAGAATCTTCCTCTCCACTAGTACCAGTATTAACAGGGTTTTTTCTTTTCGTCAACTTCACTTTATCTTTTTGAACGAGGTAGGATTTAATAGACAATGGTGGTGACTGTTCCTTCAAAGTTTGTTTCTCTGGTAAATTGGGATCTTTCATACCATCACTTCCATTGGCTGTTGACTCTGATTTTCCATCATTGATCAACTTTGAGCTTGATTCAATATTGTTGGGAGAGAAACAATTCATTTCATTTTGGGTTGTATATGGAGCTACAGGATTACTAAATGGAGCACCAGTATGCGTCTGATTAGTGGTTGAAAGTGCAGTTTGGGGCACCATTGGCTGCTGCTGCCTTATTGGAAACAATCCTGAAACATTCTGTGCATTAATAAAAGCTGGTCTGTTACTGTATTGATTTTGGAAGGCATTCACACTATATTGCTGTTGGAATGTTGAATTTGAAACAGGAAAGTGTTGTTCATATGGACCAAGGGGTCTTAACATCATTTGCTGTGAATGTGGTAACATATTTTGCTGAGATATGAAATTGACAGATGGTTGAACTAAATGAACTGGAGAATTGGGTCTTGAAGAACCAGTAGAGCAGATTTTGGCAAACTCAGAACTTATTTTTTCAGCTGGATTCAATGAGCAATTACTTTGTTGGGTGGCTGATACTGGTACAACATTCCTTAGCAGTGAACCCATATTATGTGGAGAAGTGTCAGGACCTGCAGCTTGAGCACCAGTTTGTGGATTTGTTTTTTGATCCAAATATGACTGAAGAAGCAGAGTTTGCTGGTCAGCAAGTTTTTTCAGGTAATCTGGATTTGACAGCAGATTTGGATAGTCATTGACAAGTTGTGTTGTCACCGCTTTTAACAAGTCTTTGTTCAATACTGGAGGTATTTCTTGTATAAGAGGGTTGTCTTTAGGGATATTAATTGAGGTTTCTTCTACTGGAGCTTCAAAGCTATTACCATTAACAGACTCTTCTGGATTCATTACATCAGGCAAAGTGGTTATTTCTTCAGGACAATCAGAAATTGATTCTGACAGATAATGGTCAATTTTTTTTACAAGACAGCGTGTTTTAGTATCTGAAAACGCACTGGAACTATATTCTTCAAGCTTGTTTTCTTCTTCAGCAACATATTCAACATTTTTTTCGAGCAGTCCTTCAGCATCTGAATCAGGCAATGGGATATCTTCAATTTTCACTGACAGCTGTGGCTGATCAGTGCTTCTAGTGTTTTGGAGAACTTGCGTATCTATATCAGCTTCTTCTTTTATTGTCTCTGTCAGTTCTTTTATAACATCCAAATTAGCAGATAGGCTCAAATTAAGCTTACTCACATTGTGATGTCCCAAGTGAGATTCATCATTACATATATGACTTGCTTTTAAAGAAGTAGATGTGTGATATTTGATGCTTGCAGGCTCATAAATGGGGTTCACATCGAGCAGTATTGTCATGATATCATTCCTGACAGTTGACTCATTAGAGGCCATAACAGATGTTTGGTCAACTGACTGTGCCTCTTCTGACTCTTTGGACGTATATTTTTCAATATTCACAGTTACTGAGCTGTTGTCATACCCAATGAGTTCTTTTCTATTTTCTTCGTGCTCAGTGTTATTTAGTTGCTTAATACGGTGATGGTCTGTTGCAAGTTGAACCTTGACCTCATTCGATGTATCGCTTTCAGATGATCTTTCACTCACCACATAATCTTTTAGATGTGTCAATGGGTAATCTTTGTATGGATTAATTTCTCCAGAAGAGGAGGACGTAGTTGTTTCGTCTAATGATTGTTTATCATCTGAGATTTCACTATCAATATCTAATTGAGATACTAAATTGTCCTTCTGAGTAGTCAGATTTTCAGGAACTGATGATTCCCGATTACTAGCTTGCTGAACCCTTACCAATTGACTGGGACGACACATCACCTAAAATCATCAAAAGAAGTCCTCTAAAGTTTTCCCTAATTCTCATAATTTTCAGAAGCAACTCTCATAAAGAAATAGTTCATAACTTCTAATTGCTATTTGCTGTAATAACATTGTTGAATTGTTGACTAGTGAAATTTTGATGAAATATGGAATTAAATCACTACAGAGTATATAATCTATTTATAGGTATAAGCAAGACTTACTGTTTTAGGTACAAAGGTCTGATTGCCATTAGCTGTTGGTATATAAATATTAGGCTCTGGTAGTTGTTTTAACCCTACTCCTGTATCAAGCCTTGCTATACCAGATTCTAGTTGTGTCTATTGAAATACAAACATGACATTTATCAAAGGTTTTGTATATGCACTTAAAATACTGGTAATCAAGGAATGGGGATAATGCTATTGTTTTGGGGAAATAAACAAATGAGACAAATGACCCAGAGAAGTAGGTCATGTAAGGATTGTCACATAATAAAGCAGCCTTCATTTTCCCCATTACTATAACAAGATCTACATTCATATAACATAAAAATAATGGATATTATTTGACAGGCAACAAAAAAAAAACTCCCCAAATTGTAACAAATGAGCTCAACTTATCTTACATATACATTACATATTGATAGAAATTATGCATGTGTGGAAGAATTCAATAGAAAGTTGAGGGGTGTCAAATAGATTACTGACACTATATCTAGAATTGATTTATACACTTGAGAAACTTTCTAAGAAAATAGAAAGATTTTTTTACCTTTATATTAATATGACATTGTTTTAACCAATTCACTCTAGCATCTAACATTTCATTTAACCCATTACATTCATGTCTAAAAATATAAAAACATTATGAGAAAACATGAAAAATGATCTTATAATTAGCTGCAACCAATATATTTTTAGTTTCCTTTCGAGATTCAGAACTTTAATAGATGGTTTTCGAACAAAAGTTGTAGAACACTTAAGGAATAGTGCTACCATATAAAAAATAGTGACTATTTAATATTTTTGAAAACAAATTTTTTTTTCACATCACATGTGCAAAACGTTACTAACCTTGGTGTAAAAAATTCAGTCCACCTAACCTTAGTGCTCTGTAATTCATGTAGTTCTCTCTGAATCTCTATCAAACACATCTGACTTCTTAAACTATATACTTCTTTCTAAAAACAATTATAGTATTGACGGTCATAGAGTTATAGATACCAATGGGTGTTCAAAGCATATTCAATGGAAATTATCCAATTTGGAAGTCATCTCTGAGGCTGAGGGCAAAAGATGTCGTGCATTTAATTGCACATAAAGAGCATAGTTGTTGTCTGTGCAAATCATTTCAGATAGCTGACCTTTTTCCCACAAGAACCGGTAAGGCTACATAAAAAGTGAAGAAGGTAGCCTCTAGGGAGGTAAAAAGGCTTAAAGCCAAAGGTTACATGGGTGGTTCATTTCAACAGCTGCAGATGGCTAAAACTATACTCATCAAATAATGTAACAAAGCTAAATCCCAAATTCAAATCTTGTATTTGCAGAATTTTTACTAAGGATAAATACTTACCTCTAACATTTTCATATATCTATAATTAGAGTCACTAGACTTCACACGAAACATTTCTGGATCTGTCTGCAACTTCTTATTTTTAGACTTAACTTTCGGTGGTACAGCTGTAACCAAAGGTAGTTCAGTTTGTACACCAGTGGTATGTCTTTCTACTTGAACAGTTTGTGACTTAGTAAATTCAGTAATAGTAGCCTTTTCTACCATTTCAACAACAGTTTGTGTCTCTACATTGACCATTTCCTCCCAATATGAATTCAGGTCCATGAAATCTGTGTTTCTGGAGGCCATCATATAACTCTCAGTGTGGATATTATTATTGTTATGATTGGCATTTTGTTCCGGATATTCAGGACTTATAGGAATGGTTTGAAAGGGAAGATACATGCTGTCCATGATATCAACATTAAGGGGTTTTAATTCTGGTGTGTCAGGGTTCAGCAGTGATGTCTGACTGCTAGTAACAGACGACAACTTCTCCAAATTGCTTTCTGCTTCTAGCTGCATTGGCTCCAAATTCGGTATCACTTCCTCATCCCGAATAATATTGTTATCTGTAATGTTATCTAACAGATTATCCACAGATTTCAGAAAATCATCAACTTGAATTGATATCCCATATTCAGCATTTAACTCCATTACAGCCGAGCAGATAACATCTGTAGTAATCTTCCGAGCCACTGATGAAAACAAGTCATCCATAGTTTTTGTTGATTCTTTATCTATGACCACTGCATCATGGTAGCACAATGAATTGAGCTTATTTTTTTTCTCTAAAGCTTCATTTTCTCTATTAAAACCGTTTGTTATCGACATATCTTCGGAAGAAGATTCTGATCTGGCACACACAATACCCAGTTTCTTGGCACGTTCTAGAAAAATCTGTGATCGGTTTGGGCTTTTGTACACATAGTTTGTAGTAGTGCTGGCATCTTTATTAGGATTTATATTAGAAACAGATGCACTGGCACTTACCATCTGAGAAGGTAGTGTTCTTGGATGCATATTCTCATCAATTAGTACTGAACCTTTGTTCTTGAACAGTGCTGGCTCTGTGATTGGACTGAGTATCATCAATGGTGAGGATTGTCTTCTTGGACTAAAAGGAAATATTGATCAAATTGATATCAACTGCTTGCAAGGACATGTTGACAGAAATTCATTTATAACCATAGATCATAAATCCCTTTTATTAAAACTCACTTGATAATGGAATTGTCATCTGCCAGGAAATTAGGTGCTGTGGGACTGATTTCTTCTCAAGGCAAGAAAAATTCTGATGTCATGGCCAGTGAGGGAAAAAGTTTACCCAGTGTCTAGTTTCGATTGCACAACCCACTTTCACTAACAGATATCATTTTCTGATCTCTAGTAAAAGCATAGTTTCTTATGTTATTAATATCATTTTAGACAGGGAAATTTGATGCAGTGAAGTCTAGCACTAGTGCTATAGATCGGATAAAACTTCTTACTGAAGTATGAAACAGTCTGGCTGTTGATTTGACTGTATTTACCATACATCTGATAGAAAGGAGGACATTTGCATGAACATTTCAGGGACTCATATGAGGATCACAATTATGCAGGGTCTAACTCTGCAATAAAGATATGAAGTGTATTTCTACTAAATACCAAGGAAGAGAAATCTGATTTTAGACAGCACTTTACCTGGTATAAGAATTGTTGATGTTTCCACAAAGTTGAGGTGTTTGGGATCTGGACTGGAGATGTGGTGATGTTTGTACTGGAGACGATGGATAGGAAGACCATGTTGATGTATTGTAGTGATATTGGTTAGCGTAGGGGTTATGTTGCGGAGGGGGAAAGGGTTGTACACCATATTGTGGAAACTGTACTGTAGGAGAATGCTGAATTGCTGAACTGTTGTAAAATGAAAAGATTGGAGGCTGAGACATGATGAAGCTTCAGTAGAGTTGAAAACCAGTTCAATTTCTAAAATAAGATTATCATGTACCAGAGCAGAAATAAGTTTATTGTATCAAATTCAGAAGTACTCTCTGCTGACTACTTCATTGTTTATCATTTGAAATATCAACTACAAAATACTACCGAGAGGCTTAAATTGTCATTGGGTTGATGAAAATGTCAACCACTGGAAAAGTTTGTGCAAAAAAGAAAGAATTTTACAGAAGAGAAATTTTCAGTCCGAAAGAAGGTCATTTTCACTCGAATTTTTTTAAACCAGTGTAATCAGAGAATAGAACTCAATGAAATGAATTTTGAATTATTTGAGTGCGAAGACGCACCCTTTCCTCAAATAACTGTTCCGAATACACAAAATAAGAAAAATAATATTTCATACCGTTGCCGTACACTATACTTCATTAGCACTTGACATGTTTTGTCTTGAAAACGCCTCCCAAAAAGTTGCCACTTATTATTCTGTCCCCCAAAAGGTCTTTTATTTTTCCTCGTGCAGTTTCTAAACCATTAGAATGCTAATGTTTCGCGGGTAATTCGGCTTCCGGTCTTTGACAGAAGATAGTGCGTTTAGGTTTTGAGATTTAACTGGAAAATGTTTCACATATCCAGTAAAAATTAACATAGGCGATTCACACACTCTTTTCCATTGTTTTTTTTTACTGGCAACACCAGAATTGACACAAAAAATCAAATTTTAGAATTATCTGCGCATGAATCCAGAAAGCATTTCAGATCAGAGGCATTTGCTTCTGTGAGTCGAAATGATTGTCCGAAAAATCTGATGTATTATTGAAATTGTTCACAGACAGGGGCCAATTGAAGGTCTTTTGGAAACTAACGTCTTCTTTTGGTGTCTGATATTTTTCTTTTTGATAGATTATCTATTGAGCTGAGCCATCAGCCGAAGCCTACAATGTAGCCTACCTTTCTGACTGTCAGTGGAAGTTCTATGGACTCTATTATGTAGCCTTTAATTACGCTAGATAAGCCAAGGGCACCTGGTTTTCATTTTGGCGGCTGTGTGTTCAATGGAACTTGGTCATAAGTATTTGGGTTTTTTTTGGCGAATAGACCATAAGCCAAGGGCATTTGATTTCTTTTTTGGCGGTTGTATTTCAGTGAAACTAACTAGTCTATAAGCCAAGCGCGTCTGAATTTTTGGTTGTTGTCTGTTAGTAGAACTGGGCTATAAGCTAAGAGTATCTGTTTTTGGTTGTTGACTGTCATTGGGACGGCTATAAGAGCATTTAGTTTTTTGGTTGTTTGTCTGTCAGTAGAACTGGGCTATAAGCCAAGAGCATCTGTTTTTTGGTTGTTGTCTGTCAATGGGACGGCTATAGTATAAGTTAAGAGCATCTGATTTTTTGGTTGTTGTCTGTCAATGGAACAGGTGTCCTTTTGGCGGTTGTAAAACAAAAGTGCCGGGTGTCTGTTTTGCTCACCAATCACTCTTGGATGATGGTTGGTTGTTTCTTCTTGGTGGGTTAATATCCGATCTAATAGAGCAGAATCACTAATCATCAGTGTTCCACCAAATCAAAGATCGAAAAGCACCCATAACGTGCCACTCATTGAATATATTCTTACTAAAAATCAGATTTACCTCCCCTTAAGTAGTTTTAAGTCCAGAATAATTGCCATATACACTTATCCCTTGTCAAATTATGTGGACGGTTTGTGGTATAACTCAATGTTGGTTAGTATGGCTTATGTGATGCCATTGAATAAGATTGTACAGTGATCATTAAGAATTTGATATAAGATTCTCCTTACGAAAGTAAAATAAATGATACATACTAATTCAGCCCTATTTCTTCAATCAGTACATATTCGTAATATATTCGGGCAATGGGGTATAGTGTTTAGTTGCAGTAATGGAATGGGTTGGTTGTCAATTTCGTATCAAGGTGAAGTTTGGAATAAGACAACCATCAAACACCGGTTAAAGAAAATGAAAACAATAGTTTCTGTGATATTTCGTTTATTATTTTACAAAATAAATAACAACCTTTTCTAGGTCTCAAAGCTGCGTATAAAACATCAACATATATACAACACTCTTCAATATGAACATTTATGAAAATAACAACACTATATGGGCCATATTTAACAATTATTATAATAGGGGCATAGTCATCCAAACTATACGACGCTTAAACGCTCCAATTTTTTTTTTGGAACAGAAACATAGGCAATGTCACTTTTTTCAGTGAGAAAAAAATATTCTTTTCGCAAAAATTAAAGAAACAAAATAAAAGATAAATACATCAAATTTTGCGGACTGGAAAATCAACTTTTTCATTGTTCAAGTGGGCTTGAGCTGGTACTGTATGCAATTGATATCAAGTACTATTTTTATTTATCTGGCGCAAAGTTTGTATGTATGAAAGTAATTGCTACCAAAAACCCTTGAATTATGTATACAACTGTGTTATTGAACAGGACAAATCAATTTGATTTGCAGAAAATTTTGACACGGGCATTGTTTGAAAAATAAATCCCTATTTTATTAACTTATGTGGCATTTTTATTTCAACCAAATTATTTTTACTGACACGTGACAAAAAGTTAATCCTGCAACATGGAAACGCGAATGAATATGCAATTTAGAACCTATACTAAAGTATCTGTGTGTTGACATTTCTAATTAAATATGCACATAAATTAGCATACAATAAAAGTTTCACTATTTTTCAATGTTTCAAGGTGTTCAGTTCAATTTTCAAAAATTTCAAACTGCATATTGATAATAATACATCATTTATATGCACATAAATTAACATAATAAATTAAGATTTTGTATTTCAGGTTTATATCGAAAGGAAAGATTTTGGACGTTAAACATTCAGAGTGGTTTAAAAATTGAGATTATTTTTCAAATGTTTATTTACTAATTAGTCTCTTCAGAAAGGTAAATTTTGAAAAAGAAAAGTTAAAAGATAAAACGTGCAGTTGCCGATACAGTTCGGTAAATATACGGCTATGTTCGATACACATTGCTGTTTGTCCTGAAAAGACAGCAAGAGTTGTGTTGTGTGGGAAAAGGGTTAAAGTTAGATTTAAAATCTTTTTGCTAAACGAGTCTTTGATTTACGTTTCCCGGTCGTCAACAAATCCGTTAATCCGAGACTCTATAACTATCAACAATTTTCAAAGACAACAACATTTATTGTGTCAACAATTTACTGGCAGAGTTTGACAAGAGACTTGTAGTTAAAAGAAGCGTATTAAATCTCATTAAACGTTTGAAAATTGTACTTTAGCTGTCATCTGAAAGCTTTTTTGTTTATTTTCTCAACACTACAAGAAACTGGGTAATAAAATACGGATGTTTACTGTTTGATACTTGAACTAGACGCGTAACCGACTCAGTTCGTCACCGCTTGTTGAAACATGGGGTTTACTTGATTATGATGTAAACCTAATCTTACTTGAAAGTGCACTGAAAAAGGCTAAAGTGGATAAAAATGGTAACTCTGAAAATAATAAGATACATAATACATTCGAATTCTTTGTCCTTATTTGGATATATAATTTGGCGAAATGAAATGTGGTCGAGACCTAACCCTGCAAAAGCAACAACAAACAAATCATTTCTAGCCAGAGCAATGATTATAAATATGTCTTGTTTGGACAATGTCGTGAACCTGAACAATATATTTATTTTAAACTTTGTCATGAAATTAGTATTTCAGATTTCCCAAAATTTGTATACAATAATACCTACTTTACTTACAGAATTATCATGATTAAAATATGATCAACACCTATAAATTTGAGCAAAACATTTTTACGATGGCAGAATTTGTTGTTTTTGATGGATGTCATTTCGCTATTACAGAAAACCACAAGCCTCTTGAACTCAGCAACTTACAAAACCAAACCATGAGCACGGAAATGTTATAAAATATTTGTTTATCAATTTACATGGTTGAATTGACAGTTAATTCATGCAAACGAGTTTACAAATGCATGTGTTTTAAATCGCATTGTAATAAGTGAAGTGGACGAAATGGTATAAAACGAGATGGTCAAAATTGCATTGTATAAATTGAAGTGGCCAAAATTTCTTTGTATAAAGTGAAGTGACCACGCTATAACGACAGTGATGACCAATGGTGAATGACACTAGAAAGGGAATAGGGTCCCCCCCTTTCGTGATAATACTTTACAAATAAATAGAATGCATATAGAAACAAAGAATAGAGAAGAACATAAAATATGAAGAAAGGGACAATACTAGAGTACTGACCACAGGGGTCAGAGAGGTCAAATACACTCAGTCCACAATAATAGCCAAGGAATTCAGAACAGAATTGTTGTAACGCGCACCTGCATTAAACACAAAGCACATGGTGATAAGAAAGAAATAATATGGCAATATTCTATACAAATATGAATTATGCATTGTCCATTGCATATGATATGCATATTATCTATATATATAATATATTTCACTCCAAATAATAAGTTTATATGAGCACTGTCTGATGGGCCGACCCAGGTGTTTTTTCACGCAATTGTATTGGCATTTGCTGGGGTTGTTCATTCGTAGCAAGGAAAACATCGTAAACGATTGTTTCTTTCAATTCTGAAATCACTTCTAGGGATAGAAGAACGCTTGATCTTGTTTTTCCAGATTTTATTCAGACGTTCTTAAGGACGCCCTCTAATAAAGGTAGTTTTTCCAGCCCACTTATATCTTTATAGCACACGTAAATAACACAATATAGTACATAGCACAGTCAATTTAGCATTCATATTCATACACATGCCACTCACGTCATACACTTCCGGAAACACATGATTAGATAGTTTGGAATAAAGTCAGAGGAAAAGAGTGTTCCTCGATATCACGACAGAACAGCACTCGATTGTTCTTTCCGTTTATCTGCATAGGATTGGAAACTTCGCTGTTACGAGTGGTTAAAAGACAAATCTCAATCAGTCAGTACAGAAGTTTCAAGGATTTTGGTTGCCATTTTGTGGACAGTTGAAATAAACGTAATCTGATTTGAGAGTTGAGGAACCACTGTGGTCGGCGTCGTATTCATCTCCCACTGGTGGAATATACATTGGTGGTATCAATCGTGTAGCAGAAGCAACTTGAACTGTACAGGGGTAGCCATCGTCACTGCCTGAATCATATCCAGAGTGACAGTTCTTTAATGGGTCACGTGATGAGAAAATCGGTTTGACTTGTATGTAAGTTTCGGATGGTGCTGGTGTGGATAAATATTCTGAAAGTAGACAAAAGAAAAATATTTATTATTGAACATTTGATAATACTCGCAGAGCTATGGCCGATTATGGTGACATCGGCTACTTGCTCATGCTTAAAGACTTAAATATGGACAAGAGTCTTATGGAAAGAGACAGAGTAAACAAGTTTGTTGAATTATTATTGACGATTTGGTAGACATGTTATTTACCCACCCCGCTATAAAGTTACTGATAAACGTACACCCTTTTAAATTGAACTAAAAACTAAAATATCAAACAGGTGTCCAAGGTGTGGTTTCACATTCATCAAATTTTAAACACAAATTTTCTCAACAGGAAGTCAGATTTTATGATCGGAACAAATTCTTAATCTTTGATTTCCGTGACACCCTACTATTATACCAAAATAAATTTACAAGAGCGTTATTAAATCTACTAAATTTAGCGGGGATTTCTTATTTCAGCTGTTTGCGTATAACTTTCAAGGCATGCCAATACCAATATTTCATAAATATTGCAATATTGGTTAGTCATATTTCAGTACAAAAACATTTCGAGTACAACAGTAGAAATTACTTAATTGTATTAACCTTAATTTTACGTTTGGAGAGTTTTAAATTTAAGAACCCCTCCAGAAATGTGAACTTCTTAGTCAATATCACTTTCCTCAAAAAAGCGATCCTCTTGAGCCGTATATCATAACATGTGATCGTGTTGTATCCCATGTGTCTCACCAGATGCATGACTTTTTACCATTTTATCGTTTGTATTTACAAGATAACAAATAACAGAAATGTGTAAGGAATTTGTAAAACAAAACAAGAAAGGAACTTCAATACCAGTTTAATTGACTAAATCAAATTTTTCTATGCGTCTTGTCTTATATTAAAATTTGGTGCGGTTCTGTGATATTAGACCGCAAATGCAATAAAAATTTTGTTATCTATCGCAATGTAATATGAGATAAAGGTTCAGCAAATTCGTGACTGAGTTCCGTCTGGATCAAAATTATGCACAACAAGACATTGTATCTTTTGTTATTATAACTTTTTTTCTGAAAAGGTGGAAGTTGTAGAATTTAAATAGGCGCCATCATTGACATTTTGGTTGAAATAATTTATAGGTCGTGCATACACTATAAAAATAAAGCTAACTAAAGTCTAGATGATCACCAGTGTCAAAGATAAAGCATGAAGACTTTTATATATGCGGTTACAATAAAAGTCATACTATATCCATAAACAACACCTCATGTACTCCCCACCTTTATAAAAAATATAAAAGTCAACCTATTTGTTGTCACTTTAACACCTGAATCTATTTAATCTGTATCTAAATGAGTCCTTAACATGCGAAGTCAACATTATACCGTTTTGACGTTTCCTTCTTTCAGTATTTCCAATGCAAAAAGTGGAAGTAAATAATGGGCATATTCTCGTATAAGATGTCCAATCGCTTATGAAAATGTTCATGTTTTTGCAAATATAAAATGCTCTTATGCAAGTAAAGTGAAAATGCAGATGGGAATGTCCAGATAAAGAATGCTATGAAGATAACATGCTTCATCGGCGATTGGTATTTCTAGAAGCTCTTGTGTGGTTACCATTTGGTATAATGTTACCCTGTTGCTTTCACTGAATTATTTAAAACTAAACCTAATCCTCAAATGCGAAAAGGACGATATAAAAAGAAACATTATCCAGCTGCAACCCAACTATCCATGTCTATGAACACAATGTGAGTTTACATAGTAAACATTGGGTCCATGGTTCTTACTCAATTTAATCAACGCAGTACAATTCAAGACTATTCGTTACAGGCCTAACACAGACAAAACGTTTTATTTTGATTTCAAGTTTATTTGATTAAGACTTGAGAGGATGTTAGTCCAGTGTCAAAGGTTGAGATACCAGACAGTTTCTAATTCACTGAAATAACAGAATCCCTTAGACTGCAATAAATCAATCTTAAAAGATATCAATGTTCAAACGATGAAGCTTAGCCCTAACTTTTTGAAAACCGATGCAAGAAAATAATCAAAAAACATTGGGGTAAAACAGGGTTACGTTCTGAGATCTTATGATTTATAAAATATATATATATATATGGTATTATAAAAGGCTCGCTATTGAGACCATATCTTTTTACAATGTGTGCTAACTTTTTTCGGTATATCTTAATAAAACATAAGCAAGGCAAGTATTTTTTCCCCAAAACTATCAAGAATTTAGATTTGTAAGAGAATATTTCACAAAACTACATTCTTAGTTCTGAAAGTTCTGTACGAAATAAACCTTTAAATTTGACAAACGTGGAATTGTACAATATGGATTACATTTGGTTTGACGCTACCAGACGGGATGGCATCCAAATGGCATTTAACAACCAATTTTAAGACCATTTGTGTCTAGTAAAAATGCCACCATAAAATACCAAAGGATACTACAGCATTGAATATCATAGTGAGTTCTTAAATATGTACTGCATTTACACCATTGAAACATTTGAAAATCTGCAACTAAATGTGCATTTTATTCATTTTCACTTCCTTTCAATGCACTAATATATATTACCCCCGGCGTGTATTTAAAACATTTCAAACTCTGTGTTAAGGCCACCTGTTATTAGTTTTAGATATAAATATTCTTAATTTAAACTAGCTAGTAACCACTCTGGTAGACCTGGATGTATACATACTAATAATCGGGAAAAATCCCAATCACACTGTCACTATAGTGCAGTATGTTTGCGATACCCTCAATTCTGTCGTAAAAATGTTTTACTGCACAAATATTCCAGAACGTTAAAGATGATCAAGAACTACAAGAATGTACAGCAAGTTCACTACTCCCACCCACACTTTTCTCCAGTTGCTGGTTCTTTGGTATATCAGCTGAAATCTTAAATCTAGAAATAAAATTCTCACATTCAACTGCAGAACTATTCATTATTCTAGGGCAAATAAAATATACTAAATTATCTCGTCCAACAAGCTAATAGAAAAGATTCTGCCTTCTGATCACTTAGAAGGTCAAGAGTAGCGATTGCTCGGGTATTCTTGAGTTGAATATTATATAATTGTATCGCATGCACGTTGGCAAAATGGAATCGTTTTACTAGTTGCATGTTGGTAACTTTTATAATGAATACAATATTTAGTATGAAGGCAACAGGGTGGTCTGTTCCTCAAACTCAGTATTCATATTTATACATTTAAGTTTCTATTTTTATAGTCACGAGTTTAAAACTGGTCAAATAACAAGTTTCTGGAGATGTGTTTTGTTTTAGTGTATTTTGCAATAACAACTTTTTTCGGTTCGTTTGGTTCTTTCCGCTGCAAATGTGAAAATAAGCAGATGAACGAGGTCAGAGTTCACCAGTACAATTCTCGTTATTCTAAATTACACAGGCGTTTGTAATTAATCCATTTGCCTTGGGTAAAGTATGGAATAATGGCCAATAGAGAGTGTGGGAGTAAATGTCAAACTGAAAACGATCTATTTTTCCAATAAACATCACTGTGAGATGAGATAAAGAGAGTTGTTGTGTGTTAATCCGAACATTCTTCCCTGCAGTGTATACAACTTTTACCTAATAACCAAGACAAATGAATAATGAAATGAAAGTTTTTCAAACTGCTTTTCTGCACTAGACTGATGAAACAACAAAAGTTATCTCACTTAAATTGTTAGCTACGAAACAATTAAAAGGTAATTAATTACGACTTAATAAAGAACATGTCAAAGACCGAAGTCGCGAATAGTAAAATAGCACCTAAGATGAAATTGTGATGAAGTTGCAAGATCATAATTCTAAGAATTCTTAAGGTTAAAAACATGACTTCAACAATATTGATAAATAAGAGCTTTTAAAAGCATACAGTTAATAACTTTCTCGGAATGAAGCAATAATAAACATGTACTAACAAACTGAGAAACCGTCCCAAACGACCATATGTGAACATGTGCTCTAAACCGATTAATATGAACATATGTTTACATATTCCTACATAACATTTATATAACTATTCACTCACCCAGAATCTGACAGTATTTTTACAGTCTGTTTTTTACCGAAACATCCTGTGTCAAAACGTCTGGCGACAGTCTTAAATTCTTAAATAAACCCAATGTATTTTACTTTCGGTTTAGCTCGAAATCACTGTTTTCAGTCTTAATGAACTAAACCCTAATCCAAAGATATTCCAGATATATGACGAAGCACTATTTCCTAAACTTAACACGCTATAAAAAAAAAACATTAGCGACAGGCGCTGTAAACAAGACCAAACAACCATTATGAACCATTCTAGACCTTTGTCACATTGGTGAACTATCCTGGGGTGTATATGAACTGATACGCAGGCAAAGGGGGAAACTGAGCACAGCTTGTGTCAAACTGATAAACTGGTATATAGGACATAATTTTTTTTAAATTCAAAGAGATAAACATTGGCGAAAAAGTCTCAAGACTGGAATTTTGTAGAACCATTTGGCGAAAAAATCTCATAGATGGTACTATTGTGAAACCAGTTGAGATAACCTACCAGATTTTGGTACCATCAAAGACTAGTTTAGTTTTTAATTAAATCCCAAGTGATAGCACCTGTTGTTTATAAGTCGAGTAGAACTTAAACCAATATACAGGTCATGTCAATACAACTTAAAATCAAAACTCAAGATGATTGCTCTACTTTCTTATATATCTCAGATTAAAGTAGCATTATCTCTTTTTCTCAATGAATATTACATTACATTCTGTCCATCGAGTCTTGCAGATGCCGATCTTATCCAGAAATAAAATTTCTGATTTGCTTTTTGGAATCAAAATTGATAGAAAATGCTCCTTTAGATTAGATTTTTTTTCAGTGTGAATAACTAGATATCAAGAACATTAATTCATGAAAAGTGAAGGTCCTCTAAGGTCAAAGTCCTCCATTAAATTGTTGCTACTAATTCAAACAGTATGTACAATGTGGCATATCAAAATGTGGCTTGTTTTAAACCTACAAGGGTCG